CCCACCCCCTGCGCGGGCCCGGCGGTGCGGGGCAGCCCGGCCCGCCCGCCGCCCGCCTCGTTTTCCAATCGATACAAATTTGGGAAAATCCTCGGTACAAACCTCATGGCCTCCCCGCTCCAGCCTCCATCTTTGACTACTTGACATTCAGCTCCTGCCTGACCAATTCCTCATTAGCATACCTCCCTCCCCATTGGCGCATCCCTGCGCTAGTCTTTGCCACCGCCTCTCCCATTGGCTCCCGGGGAGGATATTTAAAAATATTATCCCCGCGCCCATTGGCGCTGGGGAGCTCACGTCACGGCCCACTCTTTATTTTAACAATGAATGTACAAACACATTCTTCCATTCACAAATTTTTTTCCCCCTCTACTTTGCCCGCCTTTTCTTCAACTACATTTTCATTGATTTTTTGTTGCAACTGAGGGGGTCCTGGCTGTAAACAGATAAATCAAAGGCGGGCAGAGGGGAAACCTGAACAAATATTATTTCTCCCTCTGCCTCTCTTTTGTTTGGTGGTGCTGGTGTTGGGGGGGACCGGCTGATCCCCAGTGGGCTCTGATCTGAGAGGTGTGGTCAGCGTTTCTCTGCTTTGCCCGAGAGATTGGAACTATTTTCTACCGATTTTTTTCTTTTCAAATCGGGACCTTTTTCCTAGTAGCAGAAAACACACCTGCTTGACCCAACGCGCTAGCTTTGTGTTGTGGTGGTGGTGATGATGATGATGATGATGGCTGTTCTTACTTCGGGGATGTTTCTGGGGTGGGGGAGAACTTTCCATGCTCCACGTGAGAGTCTCTTTCTCTCTCTCCCTCCCCCCCCTCAAGCTAGTAAGTAACAAAGTCGATTGCCATGTTTCTTTCGCACGCTCCGTCCTGGCTACACACTTAACACAGGGCTGCACAAAACAAGCGATGTAATTGTTACTGACTAAAACACCCCAGGTCACTTCAGTGCACTTTCACGACCACAACAGCTTTTGTTTTTGCTAACTAGGTGCGGATATTTGAAAATCTCTCAGTGCACTTGGGAGTAACTGATATCAAAGGGGGAGGGGGAGGAAAGAAAGTGTCTTAATGTTTGGGGGGGGGTTACCCTGCAACTTGTAAAATACACGAGTCCTTACATATGAATAAAGAGAGATGGGGAGAGGTACCTGTGACACTGTAACCCTAAGACAGAAATGCCTTGGTAAGTTTGTTCGTTTTTTTTTAACCAACCTCTTGTTAACTAACAAACACGACGTTGTGCGATTATTTCAGTTTTTAAAAGAAATGCTTGCCTTTATGCAGCCAGCAGTTCAACAATTTGTTTCAACATGTGTTTGTAAAGTGAAACTATTCTGAGACACAAACGAGACAAGTTAGCAGCAAAAGGATCATTAAGTAAAGTTTGAAAAAACTAATGCATCCTTTAAAAGCATCTTGGGGAGCTTTTTATGAACCGAATCAGGGACACGTTGTGTATGCAAAAAATCTATTTCTTCAGCAGCTGTTGAATGATTTTATACATAATCTTTTTTTTTGTTTCGTTTGTTATCTAGCCTTACATAAAACTCCATCCAAAAGCTAATTTGTATGTGGACCAGAAATTTACTTTTGGCAAACCCCTGTATATACCAAGTACGTTTTTTAAGCCAAACTTTAATCGTATGTCTTCTTGAGCTTATTCTTAACAAGTAAACCCCACACATATTGACCTAAAATTCTCACTGCTAGATCTGGATGAAATTGGGTGGAGACTTTTGAGCAATGGATCTCTGGCAGTGTTTTTGGAGATGTGAGAGAGGGGCAGTGGGCTGTGAAATCACACATTCCTGTCCAATGGAGCTGAAATAATGGTATTGTTCTCTGGAAAAGAGGTTGCTTTTCTCTTCTCCATTCTTCCCCTGATCTGCAGGGACCTGATTGTGCAGTTAATCAGCAAAAAAGCGTTTGATGTAAGGCAGGGCGTGAATTCAAAAGGGCCAGGGGGGATTCAAGAGGGATTCTTCTGTCTGTTAGAAAATGTTTTTCTGTTTTCAAAATGGTAGACATTTGAAAAGCTGCAATGGTCTCTCTTAGAGAGCTGAGTTTGTAGTAGGTACCAGCACTAATTATATCGCTTCTTTTGTGGGGTTGACACTTTACTGCTGGCAAAAAGTACATATCTTACAGCAAAAGAAAGATGTGCTTCCTGGATCAAAGGTGAGCCCCTGTGTACTATCCAGCTCGCTCCTTTCTGCCCGGAGCTGAAACTTGGTGGCTCTCCCCAGAACTTCTCCCTGCGAGCCCCTGGCTCAGTGCTTGAGGCTGCAGGGTCCCAAGTCAAGCCAGGGTCTCCAGCAGCAGGTAGACGTGTCGGTGACATCTGTGCTCGCCAGCACCTCAGCTCGGAAAGGCAGAAGCCCCCCTGCCCACATGGAGTCCCCCCTAAAGCCCTTGCAGCTCCGCATGCACTGCCAGCCCAGGCTTGAACGCCAGGAAGACGTGTGTGCTGCTCCTTCCCGCGGGGTGACTTCCCAAGCTTTTCAGCAAAATGCTTTGTATCGATCGGCTCTATCCGCACAGCACGCTGCGCTCTGCCCTGTGTCCCGCACACACATGCACGCATACAGATATGTAAATCCACTGACCCACAGTTATTTCGGATTTTGGTATAGCCACACAGGAAATGACACATCACGGAGAAGGCAACTGCCGGGATGTTTACTTTAGAAATGTGTAGCTTCACAGCAGAGGGGCCCGTGGTTATCAGTTTAATTCGGCCCAAACTGTAAATGAAGTCCGTGCACGTTGCCCACCACCCACCCCTTGCGCCCAGCCTGGCAGGAGACGCGCGGGGCCAGGCGATGCCCCCCAGCCCGGCTGCAGCCCCGCGGCTCCGCTCTCCTGCGGCATGGCTTGCGTGCAGGGTTAGGAGGCTTTGGGTCTTCGCCTGTTGTTTGCTTGGTTTCTTTTCCACTCGAACCCAATGTTGCTGTTTTGTCCTTCCCCGTGTTTGTACAGGCAAGGGGCTGGACCAAGGAGGGCATTTATGTTTGCTTTGTTTTAAAAAAAAGATGATCTGAAGATTTAAACTGGAAAAAAATATGATTTTTTTTTTATCGTTTTAAGCGTGGGGGGAGGGGAACAAACTTGATTTTTTTTTCCAGATCTTGGCATGTTTTTTTTCAGTGTAACTTTATCTGATGTCACCGGGGGTGGAGTCTCCAATGCGTTTGCTTAAACTATAACTGCCTCAGTTCAAGGCCTTGTGGGCTGCAAGTTCTTCAATCTGCGGGGACAGGCATGACTATTTCCTAATGAGATCCCTACTGCAATAACGCGTTTTTTACTTTTAATCAGCTTCTGAACGCCATTAATTACGATTTTCTTAATACCATTCTCCCATCTGCAGGACTAAAAGAGCCCCACCCGAGCTGCACAGTAACACACTTCGGTGTTAACGTGTGTGAAAACACGTGTACAAACTCATATAAAACCTTCCTAATTAGATCTAGAACATACACATGTTTTGGGAATGTGTGCCTGTGTCAGGCTGAGAAACAAAGGGGAAAGATGGGGGCCAGAATTAGTTACCAAAAAGTTTCCAAAGTATTTGCATGGACTGGTATAAATTAACTTTAAGATCCCTCCTGCTGGAAGATTAATACTTTGGAAAGACTAGATCTGATTTTGAAATGTGCCTTTATTCCCAATTCACTAGCTGCAAATACTGCTGTGAACAAAACTCTGAAGTTGGGTTCAAAACAAATTGATAAAACTCAGTGGGGAACAGGAACAAATAGATTCATAAAATGTTCACAGGGCAGCAGAGTACTCGTGTTTAAACTCAAACAGATTTGAGTTTGGGTTTGCCTCAGCTTCAAAAACTCACTACTTAAAATGGGCTGTGGAGAGAGAAAAGAAAGTCTCTACCTGCTCCTGGAAAACCTTCACTTCCCTTGCTTTTAGCACAATCTTGTTTGGGTTTGTTTTTTTTACACTGGTGTAATCTTTCAAGTCAACTATTTACTGAAACACTAGTTTGAATT